AAAAGTACATATTGAATTTATCTGGTGGTTGCGTAAGAAATTCATATAACAATTCATCTCGTGGGTGTCGTAAAAGTTGATTTAAGGAAGAACCAATAAATATCTCATGGTCTCCAAATGTAAAACTATCAAACTGGTGATGAGGATCACAGTTTCGAGAAGTTTGGTATTGCGAACGCGAGGTCCGTGAACATAGAATAGTGCACTGCTATGGTCTGATTATAAAAAACAGTGGACTGGCAAAATGCCTAGGTTATTTAGCGTTTAACCATTCTCAAGCGAATAATAATAATATACCTATTTGTGACCATTACCTGTGAGGACTTAATTAAATCCACATAATTTTAGATAATGAAAAATATATATACATAACATACAAAACGAAAGTAAGGCATAAATCATTTTATATTTTATTAGTATTGAGTATATCATAAGCATTGCATTTTATATAAAATTGAAGTTTTACACAAACTTACAATCCACCTGATGGTAAGTGACTATTGCAATCTAAGGACGCCTGCAAACAGTACCAAACAAAGAATGCTTGAGATGTATTGTAGCCTCCGAAGATTAAGATGGAATACAACACAGCCCGTAATTGTAATAACTGCTTTGTATAATTATAATTACAGGTTACCACTTAGTAGATTATGAACATAAGGGCTTATATGTTGATAAATCTTTAATTTTTACGTTTTGCACAACTGCTACCACATTTTAGAAATTGAGCCATGCCAACCATTTGTTAACAAAAGGAGGCTGATATAAAAGTGGCGGTGTACTAGAACAGAACCAATCACTTTAAACTGCCAATTACTTTAATTCATTCCCATAGGAACCTTTCTAAAAAATAATTAGGCATACTGCTGTTATTTGTCATTATCTTCCGGTCACATGCATGTAACATGCTCTTTATTTAGCAGTCTAGGCTCATGTAACAAGTTGAGTTGTGATATGAAATTGAAATTAATATGTTACAGATTTCATGAGTCTTTTTAATTTATTATTATTTCAATGTATATTCAGTTACGATTAATTAGGTTTCAAAACACAAGCTAATTCTTTACAAAAAACAGATAAACTAGACTTCAAAATTTTTATATAAGATTTATATTTGGTTTGAGCAAATATGATCTTGTTTCTTGTTTCCGTACGGAGCTCAAGTGGCCTCCTATTTGTCTTTGCTGGAGTGCTCATATTCCGTCACTACCTTACTATATCCTCTTTAATAGTTATCTTAAGGTACGCTTTTTATTCCAATTCAAAAGTGTCGAGATCATCAGAAAATTTAATATCAAAACAGCCTGACCGTAATACCAACTTTTTAAACAGGGTCGTTTAAAATTCGAGCAGCCCATCTATAGAACGCTCAACCTCTATCAGCGAGACGTGCGCTGTCCTTATCTGTTTTTCAGAAGCATGTGTACAATCACTTAACATCTTAATCTTTGAGTATTGCCATTTATATTCATGTACTAGCGAATCGACCTTGTATCGCCTGGATAGTGTCTAATGTGACGTTATTTATATTTAAGATAATAAAGGTATTCAATAAAGTTTAGTTCAAAAATATGTATATATGTATATATTAAATATATTAAAAAAATTAAAATATAAAATTAAAAATTTTAAAAATGATTATATACAAATTAAAAGAGAGCATTTATTTGAATATTGGAGACAGACAACTAAATTTCATTTATATTTTATCTAAAGATTAGTAATTTCAAGTATTTTATTCCATATAGGTTTTATATTGATATATTTATAAATATTCTGTTTTTGTATCATCAAACCACATCAATTTCTGGTTTTTGCCTTGCTGTCCATCTAAAGGTTGTCTGAAAGAAATCGCTTTTATACTGTGATACTATAAGACTGCCCATTGTGACACTTAAGATCTTTATAGCCTTCTGCTTTCATTCATGTATTGTTTTATCACACTTAATTTTTACTTGTTTGTCGGCTAATGGAAATACCTACGAAGATACAGCGCAGTGTAATTATAAATTAATATATAGAGAACAGCAGAAACACCCAACAATGGCAGATGCTTTAAAAAAGGGTAATGGAAAGTAAATAATTCGAGTGGTGAATTGATCGTAGTACAAAAACCGGCGTAGACATTGTTTTATTGGTCATACTGACATAGCAATAATCGAAACGGTAGCAAAGTATTAGGCAGCAGATATAATGATACTTTTGTTTATATCGAATTTCTTAGTACGCACTGTCAAGGACTAGTTTAATATGAAAAATGATAAAGCTTATAATGCTTGTAAGGTGTTTGTGTCAAAACGTAATGGCGAACGCTTCCTGAATAATATGTGGCCCGAAAAATAAAATTTCGTCATGTTATATATTTTAAAAATTCTTCATTGATTGAGGATTCGATTCTAAAAATATATATTTTTATCGTAGTATATTAATGTAAAGTACGGTAATGAGTTCCAATTGCAAAAATGTAAAGATGAGAGTTGAATGCTAGAGATAATTATATATCAGCTGACATTATTCGAGAAACTTGGTTGCTAATGTGTGCCCTATGATTACATCTTATTGTAGGCGCTATACATCTTGATTTCTACTACATGGACAAATCGGTAGTAAATCTCTCGACAAGCGTTTTGCGTGGCCGTCAGTAAGGCGAGGTGGCAATTTTATGGCGCAAGAATGCCTTTTGCAACGTTTCAGTCGTGAAGTGTGACTGTGACCGTATTGTAGTCATAAAGACAACAACTTAGACTGCATGAAGTTAGCTTGAAGTGTTATTAATGTATGTGTACATACATTAATAACTACGAACTACCGATAAATACGAACATTAACCTATGTTTACACTACAATGTTTCGTTATACTTGATATTTGATATTCGATAGATGATTTCTATGAGCTGCAACATCCGATCACGGTCTGATTAAACGTGTGTGTGTTTTTGCCATTGCTTCTGTTAAAAGAGTTATTAGCTACGATATCTAGGGGTCGATTTTTTGTGATGATTTGAAATGCCACAAAATATTTTCTTTTATTAAACTGACGTGATTAACGAGCTTATAGCCTGATGGTACGGGGCTACCGCAGGCCATAGCACAGTCAAAATGGCTACTGATGCGTTGTCATGCCTGAGGTCTAAGATATATTGCTGCATATCCTGTAATTATACTTGCTATCTACACCCTTCAAACCGGAACCCAGTTTTGTTAATGATTTATTATGCGAAGAGGTAAGGTGGGTAAAATAGTGTTACGCGCTCCAGTCAACGATACACTAGCGCCATCTAGTGTCAGGAACGAGAGCGAGGGGAGCATTGAGAAAATGACATCACAAATCACTCAACCGACAGCGCCTAGTCGAAACTCGAACGCTCGGTACCTTGCGCGTGTTTACTTGAACATTCTGGATATTTCTTTGCTAATTTATATAACTAGGCGCTGCAAGATGCGATCAGGGGCAGAGTTGAACTCGACGACACAAGCGAAGCTTCGGAGCGAAATTAAGTGAATTAGTGTGTTTAATTATTAGTGTTTTAAGTTTTAATTTGTTTAAAGTAAATTAAAGTGTTAATTTAGGTAATTTTATCGGCAATTTTTATTGTCACGAACCTCAAGCTCGTAACAATAGGTATTAATTTAATTGTGCAGTTGCAGCAAAAAGTTGCCTTTGAAACGAACCATATGACAACAAATAGTGTGTTATATAGAGATTGCATATACTTTTTATACCACATATGCAACACGTTAAATAGATGTATCGCATCCAGACGTGAGAGATTATAAAGGTGTTACACCTCTGATACATATAGTATGTGTGATCTGTGACTGCTAAGCATGATAGCCTGATATAAAGCAAACATCTAATATGGGAGTAACCTTTATCCAGCAATGTAGTGTTAGAGTCCTAATGAATTATGATCATAATAAAATTTATTGCATAGCCACTTAAACAAAAATTCAAATTTCTGACCCGGGATCGATTGATTTTAATTGAAATTTTAAGTGCTGATTTACCAAGCGCTCGGCGTTGAAGAACAACATCTTGACGAAATCTGCATGTCTGAGAAATTAAAAACAAATACGACCGCCAACACGCACTAAGGCAGCGTGGTTTATATTACTTTGCTATAAATCCCTTTCAGAATTAAAAAGAGGCCTGTGCCCAAGAGTGGGGCATAAATGAGCTGTAACTTTATTTAAAATTTACAATTGTCTTGAGTACTAAGTTTATAGGTAAAAATAGTTTTCTGCACAGAGGTGAGACAAGGTGAACCGTAAGGTCGAGGACCCAGACAGCTCACCCGGTGCTTTTGAGAAGCGTTTGTAAAGTATACAATTCTTCGAAAACATGCTAGACGCGACTATATACGTCTCTTTAAAACAAAGTTAACAGCCAAATTATTATTTTCAATGATTTCAAATGAGTTCCGGCATTCAGTGCTACGACAAATCTGTTTTCTCCAACACAGCCTGAAAATACTGAAAGTTTATAATTAATCATGGCAACTCTTTTCGCAGATTCATATTGCTATGTTGGTAAAGCAACAATAATTTATTAATATTAAAAATAGTTAAGCATAACAATAAGTAGTAGTAATTATTAAGATACTCTTTTCTTCTTCCTTATTTTGTAAAGAATAACATGCAAAGATATCATTGCGAATTGCGAGTACGCTCGCATCCGAAAAGCTTTCTATGAGTCCCAAATTTCACATAAGCGTAAATGACAAAAGATTGTGAAACAAAAGGTCTTTTACGTCACAAATAATTGCAATTTTTAATATTAACCTTAATTAAGGCTTGAAATAACTGAAGAAAGAATGAATAAAACTTTGTGACATCTTTATTTTTATATTCTTAATAAGTAATTGTGATTATGTTTTATAAATAATGAATAAGTTGATCGTTATTTCTTATTACATAAGAGTTATTACAACACATATATGTGTAAATTAACAGCATAATAGACTATGAAACTATTTAAACGTAACTACTTATATCCTCACCTCTAGAAGCACTCATTTTTGTAGCTCCAGTCTGCTTCAAAAGTGACATCAAGGTCTCATTTTAGTTATGGTAAATATATCACTAATTTATTGGTTTTACTTTTATTACTAATAATCTATCGTTTAATGTAATACCTAACGTATTAAAACAACTTTTACAATAGTTTATAAAAACTTTTTCGCCCTGTCGTTTTTTTTTTTCAAGGGACACAGCTTAAAATGCGTAGTTGCTGTTATTAAGGTTGCTATTAAACGAAGTAGCCACTGCGTTTTTCGCAAATGTCAAGAAAAAGAGTGCAACGGAAACAAGGTTGAAACGCTAATGCGGGAAAATGTGTCAAGGTTACCCTGGCAGTGGCATAATGAGACCGCGGCAAGCACTGCAACATAACCTTTATGAAAACATTAAAATACAGATACTTTAGAATCTCCAATTCAGTCCCTTAATACTTGAAGTATTTCATTTTATTCACAGAAAAATAAAACACATGCCACTTTGTTCGATGTATCAGTGCTAAAGTAATATACAGAAGCAATTTTTATGTGTGCACATTTTTACATTTTCAAACTATCTCAATTTTCGAATTTTTGACATAACTCGTGAGGTGCAGTCTCGCGCGACACAACATCACTCTTGCGGGTCAGCAGAGAACTGGATGAACCGACAGAGGCCGCTGTTAGCGAAATTGGCGCAATTTTAACGCATGCGTAAAACATTCGCGAACCGGCGTGAGCCGATCTGACCCGACACCCCTCGCTTCATAGAAAAATCGAGGACGTAACGTGACGTCAAGAACTCGTACCACAATTACAATGTGGGTTAATCGAACGTAACAAAACAACTCTTAACTAAGTCCTTATAGTACAGCTCTAAAGGTGAAAGGTTTTGTTATTTTTAAATCAATAACTGTAAGTTTTCTATTCAAAACTATCGAAGCACCAAAGCACAAGCATGGAAACCTGGGCAAAAATGAAATTCTTCTTTCTTGTAAAAATGTTTAAGTAATTATGAGCATTAGTTTACTCTACTCCAGATTTTATCTAGGTTTAGTGAAAGTTTAAATATAAATTTATAATGTAAGTAATTGATGTTGTATCGGTCCTAAGTTTATTAAAGTAAAAAGACTAAGATAGGCCTCTTTACAGTTACTAAGGCAAATGTTGAACGCCTGAAGAGCGATACAAAAGATAGAAAAAAAAAAGAAAGAAGTAAATCTGTCAGGTTAAAACATTAGGTTAACATCATTAAGTGTAATTCCTAAAAGAAAATATACAAATTGCTCCAATAACTTTTTGCCTTATGACATCTGAAATCAGGAAATAAAAATAGAATGCCGAACTTAATCAAAATGATGAAGCAGAAATCTTTAATAAGGCTATACCTACCTAGACGAGCTGTGGTAGCTCGGAGAGCCGTGGTAGCTCAGATAGTTAATAATACTCGCTGTAAATATAACAGAACTCGAGTAACCCGGGTTCGATCCCCGCCGGCACCAATGAAATTGTTAATTGCAATTTTAAGTGCTGATTTACCACGTGCTCGGCGGTGAAGGAAAACATCGTGAGGAAACCTGCATATCTGAGGAATGAATTAAAATTTTCAAATTAATTTTTAAAAAAGTCCATGGGTTAGTATTAAAATTACTGCTCAAAAACTAGTATTTTGAAAACAATTAAGTGAAATTATATTATTATATTTAGAAACAAATTAAATTCAACTTAATTAAATTAAAACAGAAAAACTCAAACTAAACCAAATTGTAATTTGTCATGTACCTAAGAGGCACTCCGTGCGGTCGACACCTAGAAGAATTATCATCCACTGTATGGGCCATCGTTCTCACGAAGTGCCTTACCACAGGCGCATGCGGATCATCAGCCACCATTCTCAGGATGCTGTTGTCACTTCTCCGTATCATTCCCATCAGCGACGCTACATCTTTCCGAACTACGGCATGAAACCCGTCAGTTTGGGTCTATGCAAACATGCCAGAGGCACTAAAGAAGCGGGGAAGTGCCAACATCATCCTAAAAACGTTATTGTACTGGCCTCGCAGGATGTTTAGCGATTTTTTGGCATACGCAATCCACAGACTGCCCGTGTACAGACCCTGACAATACGCTTTAAATAAGATTATTGTAATCTGATCCGAACAGTGGGCAAATCTGCGGGTCAGCATATTGCCGCGTATCACCAAAACTCTACGCTCCCTCTCTATATCTAGATCACCTTTAAGGTCATCAGCAAGAATATACCTTAGGTATTTATATTGATAAACCCGCTTTAGCTCCGATCCATTTAAGGTTATTGCAGGGATAGATTCGAGATACTTGCCGGAAACCCCAAAGACCGTGTATTTACTTTTATTAATGTTGTATACAAGACCATGCGAGGCAGCATAAGTCTCACAGACCTTCAACATTTCTCCGATCGCATTCGCAGTGGGACTCAGCAACACCATGTCATCCGCATAGCTGTGCTATTGATACTAACACCTGCCACGCGGTATCCAACACGCATGCTACTGATCTCCACCAAGAGATCGTTAACATACAAGTTGAAGAGCTTCGGAGACGATAAGCCTCCCTGCCTCACTCCGCACTTCAACCTGTATGACTCGGAGAGACTGTTTAACCATTTAACATGATTGGTCTGGTTTGCACACCAATACCGATAGATGTTGATCATCTCCGCTGGTCGATCATACCCCTAACCTCCATCTTCCTCCAAAGCACATCATATGAAATGAGATCGAAGGCTTTGAAGTGGTCCAGAAAACAGGCGTAAACAGGCATCCTCTGGTCTGCCTGTTTACGCCTGTTTTCTCATCTCTTTTATTACAGCCTTTACTTGGTTGGTTGTAAATAATAGCAATGGCCTCTCCCCGCTCACGCCGGGTCTAGACTCGGGCTTAGTAGCAGATGGACCCAGTGGTGACCTCACCTTAAAATGTACCATGAACAAATTTGCGATATCCCCTGGGTCACTTTTGCGATTAACACTCGCCGGGAGTCCAAGTCTAACATTCAGTTTCCCTGTGGATTACCAGAACCTACTGAAGTTCTTTTCCGCTCTAAGTTTTGCTATTTGGTCCATTTTTATTTGCTGCTCGTTATTTAAGCACCATTTTAGTCTGCCTTTAAAGATCTTACGAAATTCGCACATTTCCTTGTATATTAGGCCAGAAGGTCAACCATGCAAAACCCAATCTTAGAATCGAAGGCTGGCCTACCGGTGAGCTTCCCTAACATGTTGTTCCACCTACCTAAAATTTTGTTCCTCCGTGGTTTATCGCCAACCTGAGCCTTGGTCTGAACAGCTGCGCTCTGCAGAATATCCACAATACGTTTACGTCTAAAACTAACTTTTTTTTTAGAAAAGGGGGCAAACGAGCATGCGGTTCATCTGATGTTAAGTAACTACCGCCGCCCATGATCAAACGCAACACCAGGGGAATTGCAGGTGCGTTGCCAGCCCTTTAGAAAGGAGTAAGCTCTTTTCTTGAAGGTCCCCAGGTCGTATCGGTCTGGAAAAATCGCAGGTGGTAAACTATTCCACAGAGAGGTTGTACGCGGAAGAAAACTCCTTTTGAAACGTACAGTGGTGGACCGGCAAGCATCCAGATGGTGTGGATGGTATCGGGACGTTTGCAGAGTAGTGCGTTCAGGAAATTTGGCGGCTGGGATTAATCCAAACAATTCCTCAGAGCACTCCCCATGGTGTGGAATGCGAAAGAAAATGCAAAGAGATGCAACATCTCTTCGCAGCGCCAGTGAATCGAGCTGATCGGAAAGCACTCGGTCGTCGACGATTCGAGCCGCTCTGCGCTGGATGCGGTCAAGAGGAAGGAGCTGGTACTGGGGAGCCCCAGCCCAGAGATGGGAACAATATTCCATGTGCGGCCGAACCTGCGCCTTGTAAAGTTGCAGGCGGTGTGCCGGCATGAAATACTGTCCCGCTCTGCTGAGCACGCCAAGCTTTTTAGAGGCCAATTTGGCCTTCTCTTCCAAGTGACCACGAAACTGCACGTCACTCGATATGTCGACGCCGAGGATTCCGATACTGGCTGAGGCAACAAGGGTAGTGCCTTGAAACTGAAGAGATACGACAAAGGGGTTCTTTTTAGCGGTTAACGCGCAAACTTGTGTCTTCTGGAGGTTAAACTGGACTAGATTTAGTCGCCCCCAATCCGAGACTCTGTTCAGCAAAGACTCGAATTCAGACACAAGTTTGTCCCGGTACTCGGAGACGTTTTCCTGAGAAATATTGGCACGGCCGGTGTAAAGAGCATCACCAGTGCTGTCATCTACATAGCAATGAATGTTACGAGTTTGCAACATATCATTGATATGCAGAAGAAACAGCGTTGGCGATAGCACGCAGCCTTGTGGAACACCAGCATTAATAGGCTTGTAATCGGAGCTTGCACCGTCTACAACGACCTTGATGCCCCGATCTGCAAGAAAGCTGGTGATACAATCGCACAAATTCTCCGGAAGCCCATAGGAAGGGAGCTTCGAAAGAAGCGCTTTATGCCAAACCCGATCGAAGGCCTTCGCTATGTCCAAACTAACGTCTAATGCCTATCCCCTTGGACTCTACTGCCTGTGCCCATCTATGAGTTAGGTAGACCAGATGATCACCAGCTGATCGACCACGAAAACCGTATTGGCGATCACTAATTAGCTGGTGATCCTCAAGGTACCTCATGAACTGGCAGCTTACAATGGACTACATTGTTTTGGAGAACAAGGAGGTGATGTCGATAGGCCGGTAGTTGGACGGGTCTGAGCGGTCGCCTTTTTTAGGGATCGGGTGGACGAAAGCCGTCTTTCATGATTTTGGGACTACGCCTATGGAGTAGTACCGGAAAAGACGCGTTAAAACCGGTGCCAATTCTGGAGCACACGTCTTCAGCACAATTGGGGGGATTCCGTCAGGCCCACTCGACTTGTGGATGTCCAGGGAGAGGAGTGCTTTGCAAACCGAGCGCTGTGTGAAATGTACTTCCGGCA